GGGCCGGCCTTGTCCAGGACGCCGGCGGCTGCTGTGGATGGCGGGGGGCACAGACTGGCACCCCCACCTGCCAGCCTCCCCTCGGGGAGGCAGCCTCGCCGGGCCTCACCTGAAGTGGAGGTTCTTGAATGTGAAGTGGGTTTCTACGATGCCGGTGGTCTTGACCCTGGTTCGGAGGATGTCCTGCTCGGTGGGCTGGTAGTCGGCGGCCCCGATCCGATCCAGGCTGTCCAGGTAGCTGGAGGTGACAGCACAGGGACCGTGGGCCCAGCCCTTGGGACCGCTGGGCTCTGCCCTCCAGACCCCAGCGGGCGGCCGTTCGAAAACAAGTCACCGCTCGGGCAGGAGCTGGGGCCGGGTGGACTCAGCTTTATCTCTGAAGGAGATGGCACCCCCCCCAGGGGTCAGCTCTGTGGCTGGGCAGGGTGAGGCCAGGGGCCTGTGGGCAGCGAGGCCCAGAGAGGTGAGCTGCGGCTTTGAGACTGAGCACGGCTGGGTGCCCGGCTGTGAGCACCTCGGGGTGCCGGCAGGAGGAGCAAGCCCGCTCCAGTGGGGAGCTGCAGAGGGAAACTCTTATGCCACCCGCTGGATGTGCTGGGGCTCCCGGGCCCTGTCTGGGGGGGGCGTGCAGATTCCACAGCAGCAGCAGCAGGTGCACCCCCGTTCTGGCTCTGGCGCTGACACTCGGGCAGTGAGGGCGGCCCCCCGGGGGGCCCCGGGCGCTGGGCCTGGCAGCCAGCACTCCGCCTCGCGAGGCCTCCTCAAATGTCTCATGTGAAGTTTTACTCTTTTTTATGTCAGACCGAGCTTTGGCCAGGAGATGAGATTTAGCTGCTGAGACCACAAAGCAGACGTGGCGCAGAGAGCCGCCGGGCCCCTCTGCAGCGCCCAGGGGCGCCTTCGCGCCCGCCCCGAGAGCTCACCACAGGCGGGTGGCAGGCGGGACGCAGCCGTAACCCTGGCAGGGATGGGGGGCGGGCGGCAGGCAGACCGCCTCGGCTTACCTGGTGGGAGCTGACTCAAGTCTCTTACTTAAAGTTATTAAGGTAACCACCGGAAGGACCAAAATAGCCCTGTAACCGGCGGAACAGTGGAGGTGGCCTTGGGGGAGAGGGGCGGAAAGGAAGGCGAAGTCCTCGGATTCCACGGGGAGATCCGCAGCGCCTGAAGCCCAGGGCGCAGTTGTCCTGGGTGCCCCTGGGCCCGGGG